CCCAGCGAGAAAACCGTCTTGTATGGCACCCGGTTGCGGCGGGAGCGCTGGGCGACCGTGTCGGGGCGCTGCTGATTTTTATTTTTATTTTCGTTCTTTATTTTTCTCCCTCCCCCCCCTTCCCCCCTTTCAAGAGTTTCCTGGTCGCTTCTTGCATTCAGATGAGCTTATCGTGATTTTTTTTTTTTTTTTTTTTAAATGTGAAGGTGCCCTGTTGGGAGTGAGCTAGCCAGGTTGGGAAGGAAGGAAACACGGCTTGGGGGTCTCTGGGCATCCTGCACACGGGGTGGGGGGGTGGAGCTGGGAAGTTATTGTCAGGGATTTTGCAAGGTCTTGTTTGCAGTTGATGCATCAAGGTCTGTCCCAGTACTTATTGCAATCTTGGATGTGGAGAGCGCTGCTGGATCTGGTAGGTTAAATTTTGGTCTAGAGACTTCTTGCAGTCTTGAACGTGGAAAGCACTGCTGGATCTGGTAGGCTAAATTTTGGTATATAGACTTCTTCCAGTCTCTTGAACGTGAAAAGCACTGCTGGATCTGGTAGGTTAAATATAATAAGTATATATCTCAAATCTTGAATGTGGAAAGCACTGCTGGATCTGGTAGGTTAAATTTTGGTATATAAACTTACTACAATCTTGAACATGGAAAAGCACTGCTAGATCTTAATACATTTAACCTACCAGATCCAGCAGCGCTTTCCACGTTCAAGATTTTATTTCTATATTAAATCTTGAATGTGGAAAGCGCTGCTGGATCTGGTAGGTTAAATTTGCTATTGATGCCAAAATGCTGCTGGAATTTGAACTTAATACAGAAACTCTTACAGATTTGTGTTGCAGTAGGAATTGTGCTCAGGTAACCAGAACAAATCAACCCGAATTAACTCTCCAGTACCATGTAGTGAAATGACTTGACTGGTGGGATGTGCTTGCTTGATAAAAATGCTGTCTTGGAGGGCTAGTCAGAGCTCAGATCCTTAATAGAGTGGGTCACAATTTAGATTTTAGTAAGCCTTGAGGTCACATTTGTCAATAATGTGCTCTGGAATTTGTGTCAGCGGGGAGCCAGGAGGAGGGTTGATGAGAATCAAGGTTCTTTGCTGATTTATGAGTCTTCACTGACACCTGTAGTAATACTAGTCCTTTCGTTAGGTTAGAAGGCTACATGTTCAGAAATAAGCAGTTTTAAACGACTAGTAAAACAGTTTATCAAGTGTCCTAAGTAAATAGAAGTGCTGGGGGGGTGTATTTGGGTGGGTGGTCTTTGATGTGTGGAGAGTAGGGCAACTAGAGGTAACTCTGGGATTCAAATATATCAAGCCCCCAAATATCAGGATTTTTATAACTCTTCTTAAATAAGTAGGAACTCAAATGAATGGTCATTGCAGAAAAAAAAAAGTATTGTTAAGAGACTGTTCAGTCTCTCCTGAGGTTGGGACCATAATAAAGATCCAGAATATTATATACTAGCTGTAGCATGCTTATGAGATGCTGGGTTTAATGATATGGGAGTTAACTGGTATTAGGCCTGGAAAGGAAAAATAAAATGGCTAGGGCTCCTCCCCTCCCCCACTCCTCCCCCTTCCCCTCCTGAGGCTTGGGTAGATGGAACCCCCCCAAATTTTAGTGCTAAGATTACATATTAGCCAAAGCTTGCTGATATGGAAAAATGCACTGTTACTTCATGTCATATTGTTTGTGGCCTGTTTTGCTTTGGAGGTGACTTTCGTGGGACTGGTATTGGTAGGTATCCAAAGCTAGGCTTTATCCTAATGATGGTATTAACATGCATGGAGCCCTGTGCCTATGTGGGGCGTGCTGAGTTTCTTGGGACTCCACACAAGTGTAAGGCTTTGCCTGCTCCACTCAGACTGCTGGACTGAGGCCTTAGTCTATGCCTTAAGAGTTAAAACATGGATATGAGTCATAAACATGGTGGCAGTTTAGCCACCTCTATTTTTAAAAAATCTTTCTGGTGCTTGTATAATTGCAGAGCACTGTTTTAAATGTTAAGCATATATCTTACGCCTAGCAAATTCTGCAGAACACAATAAAGCATATTTTTTTTAATAGGGAAAAAAAATTAAAATCTTCCTTAGAGCTACACAGTGCATTGTGGGATACAAGAGATCTTTGCTGGTAATCCTGTAAACAGCATGCCAACCTTAATATTAAGGAATCTTTCTAATAGATTAATTCAGTGTTTACCAGAATTGTTTCGGAATAGTGCAGTCCAGGTTTTGGCACTATGCTGATTGCTGTACTATTTTAGTACTAATTTGAATCCCTTTTATTACCTTTCTGTAAATAACAACTTGCTAAGGCAAATAAATGAGAGAGTTCTGTGATTTGGTATGTTTCTTTCCTACGTCAGAGACCCGAATTCATAATTTTGGTGTGTATTACCTTTTGACCAAGGAAGAATGGAAGTGCTGAGGCAGAATGAAGTGGATAACCAAGTCTGTTTTTACCAAACATCTTATTTTCCAGTCAGTTAAGTGGCTTCAAAGCTTATATGTGTGTCTTTACTGAAGTGATACAGCTAAGGATGAGTTGCCAAATGTGGGGTAGAGGGGAACAGTGCCTTAAATTGGGATTTGTATTTTCTCATTGCAGGCTCATTTAGGAAGTCAGAGCCCCTTTGGTTCATGCCTGCAGGTAATAGGAAGAGAGTCTTGGTGAGACACCTTAATCGTTTCTGCCTCAGTCTCTTCAGATTTATAGACTATCCATATGTTGCAAATTAAATAGGTGAATTTTATCATTTACTTAAAGTAGTAAATGAATAATTGGAGTTCTTTATGATTAAGAAACATATTGTTGAAGGAATACGTAAGCTGCATAATTGTAAGATGCTTCTTCAACCTAAAGGGGTCCTATCATCTTCCAAATAAACTCTTCCCGTATAAATTATTATCTATGATCACTACAAGAAGCACCTGAAATAAATAAAATTGCACAAGTATGATAATTTTTCTGCTTTTGGTGACCATTTTGCATTTGACAGAAATGAAAACAATCAGATTAAAATTAGAAAAGAGTGTAGCAAATGAAATTGCTTTAAGCACATTTATTAAATTGAGTGGATTTCAAATTGACAATCACCTTTTAGTTGTCAGAATGATTATTTCTTATCACCTTGTTTATCTAGTAAAAATTAATAGTTTTCAAAGTGAGATTGTTATCGTACATGAAATTTTAAGACGGGAGTCCTGGGTTTATTATTAAGCACAGATCATTCTATATTCTGCTTTGCCAGTCTGAGTGCGTGAATAAAGTACTCAAGATTTCTGAAGAGCACGTCTTTACGTTTGAATTCTCTGTACCTGATGGGTTATAGATAAATGTATAGTACAACATGCATCACTATGCATAGAGGCAAAAAGCTAATGATGAATTAACTTTTCAGTGTTAATAAAACAGAACATCTGAGAGATTAAAAAGCTACATCTTTCTCTGTGGGACAAAATAGAATAGATTATTCTAAAAAACAATGAATCTTTTAAATATATTTTGTACCACAAACATCTGTAACTGCTGAAC